GGTGGCCGGGGCGAGCGGCTGGGCTCTGAGGCCAGGGGCGGGGCGGAGCTGAGGGCGTGGCCAGCGGGGGATGCCCCGCCACCCGACCGGGAGGAGGCGCCCGCGGGGTAGGCCCCAGTGGCCTGGGGAAGTCCCGGAACCCAGGGCGCGGAGGTCCGTCTGTAGCCGCTGCTCTACACGTTCTACAGGTGGGGCGCCAGGAGCCCAGGGCAGAGGGCATTGGGGAAGAGTTCGACACCCTCCCCTGTCCCTGATTTCCCCAAGGACACACAGACTCCCCTGTCCCTGATTTCCCCAAGGACACACAGACTACACTTTTTTTTTTTTTTTTTACAAAATGTATTCATTTTCCTCAGAACTGAAAAATAAATCTATATACAAAAGAGGAAGAGCTCAGGTTCCCTTCATCCACTCCCAACACCCGGCAGATTTCCTCCAGGGGTCCCCCAGTAGGCAGGAATTCAGGGAGGCTCCCAGAGGATTCAAAGAGAGTTTCTGCTCCGATTTGGGGCCAGTTTGATCAGGATGGGGGCGGGGCTTCGGATTCCTGACAGTTCCGATAGGGAGGGGTGACGCAAGATTTCCAAATTCTGGAAGCAAGAGATCTTTGGGTTCCGGAATATGGATTCCCAAAGTATGGAATTCTCAAGTACGGACATGTTCTCCTAGAGACTGAGTAGCGTCCTTGTCGCTGGTTCCTGGGCTGTAGGCTGCCCCAGGCACTGAAAGCCATTATGAGCTGTACCGCTGGCCCAGCATGTGTGGGGCCTGAGTTTCTAGGAGTTGGTGGGAAGGCCTGGTGGAGGGGGAGGGGCGGTTTCCAGTGGAGGGCTGGATTTGGGGGTCGGGGCAAGAACTATACTCTAGAGAATGCAGCTGCAGACCGCCCCCAACCCCTGGTTTCAGAGGCCCTTGCGCTGCCGCTTGAGGAAGGAGAGCGTGTAGTCACTGGGCGTGGACACCTTCTGCTTCTTCATTTGCACCTGAGACTGCGCGGTGAGCTGCAGCTTGATGGCGCTCGAGTTGATCTTGGTGGCAACCAGCAGCTCCTTCATGCCCTTCATCTTCTCACTCTGGAACGTGAGCACCGGACCCTCTAGGGGCGGTGACACTGCGGGTGCAGGCGTGGATGCTGGGGCCGCGCTGCTGCCCTCAGAGCCACGGGCGGAGACTGGGCCTGTGCCTGGGAGTCTCCGGGGCGGAGCCGGCACTGCACCCTGACCTACGCCTGTACCCTTGTCCAACGCTGGCTTCTTAGGCGGGGGAGGCTCCTCGGGCTTGGACTCCCGCCTTGGGCCACGCCGCCGGCCTTCCCTGGCCTCCTCACCCCACGGTTCCTCCGCCTCGGCTGTCTCGGTCTCACGGCTCACGATTCGCACCTTCTGGCGCACCTGGTCCAGAAAGGGAGGTGAGCTGCTGGGGGTGTGGAGGGGAGGTAGTGGTCTCCAGGCCAGCCACTCCTATGCTGACTTTAGTCTCTCAGTCTCATCTGTCCCAAAAAGGATGGACTGACTTCTGGAACCTTCCACAGCACCTCCCACCCCTACAGAAACCCCATGCTGGCCCCCTCACCTGTCCCTCAAAACGGCCCAGAGACTGCACAAGGAAGGTGGCCCAGCCCACGTGTAGCACAGGTGTGGGGCTGCCCTCTTCCCATTTGCAGATACCATCATAGAAGCGCAGGAGGTGGGCAAAGCACTCGGGGTCCTGGAGAGCAGAGCCTTGGCTCTGGGTGCCCTGGGTAAGGGACAGGGAGAGCCCCGTCAGACTCTTGACCCTTTTTGTAGACAGAGAATCCTAATTCCAGAGAAGGTGAGCGACCACAAGTGCAGAGCATTCTGAGAACCTCTGGGTCGCCTCAACTCCTACCCGAAAGGTTGGTGGTTCAAATCCACTCAGTGGCACTTTGGAAGAAGCCTGGTGAGAGGCTTCTGTAAAGATTACTGCCAAGAAAACCCTGTGGAGCAGTTCTACTCTGTAACACATGGGGCCCCCAACCCCCAACAAGCCTAGGCACACCCCCTTCCAAGCTCTCCCACAGCTGGGTCCTACCTATACAAGCACGAAGCTTTCCAACCCCAGACCACCACCCCTACTGCCTTGCCCCCTCCTGATAACAACAGGTTTCCCTGGCAACATCGGTCATTATTCAGGACAGGAAAGCAGGTACCCTCCCCTACTTCCAACCAACCAACCTGAACCTCAGGCCCCGGCCATGCCATTTATCTGAATTGACACAGTACAGCCCCCTCAGATACTCTCAGCTTCTTCAAACCCAGACCTCAGCCATAGCAGAAAGCAGACAGCGGCTTTACCATCACGTACTGAGGCTAGGAGCCCAGCTTGGGTGGGAGACTGACGGCAGGCTGCAGCAGCAGCCCCTCACCTGTGTCTGCTCCCCTGGCCGCTCCTCACCGGCCTCCAGCAGACTGGCTGCCTCCTTCAGCAGGTTGGGTATGACATCATTGGCTACTTCAAAGAACTCCTTGTAGATTTCCTCATCTTCCCGGCAGTAGTTGTAGCTGTAAGAGCAATAGGGCCTTGTGGGCTGTAGGCTGTGGTGAGGAGGCCCCAGGGTCCCAGAGAGTGGTCGGGGACCTCACTCCTACAGGAGTCCCTGTAGAAGGGGTCAGGCCAGGGGAGGGGGCCCACTGATAGCTAATGGGGCTGGAAATCAGGAGGGGAGGGCAGTGAAAGGCCAGAGGTTCTCATCAGGGACCCTCGCTCCTCTGTCATGGTGGAGAAAGGGGCTGGATGGCTCCCTGCCTGTACGGGTGGGGAAGAGAGGGTGGGCTGGGGGTACGCACTCCTGGATGACAGTGGCCGTGTCGGCCCAGGCCTGCAGGGCTTCCCGCACGTTGCGGTTGCGACAGTGGTAGCCAGCCAGGTACATGTAGGGGTAGATGTGCTCATCCCGGTAGTAGGTCTTGGCTGAGGTGATGCCCTGGGAGGAGCATCAGAAGACAGTCCTCAGTGGTACCCATGAAAGGGCAACAGGAACAGCCCCCCACCCCCCCTAGTGCCTACCTCTGATCCCACCTCTGCTGCCTGCCAGCCCCTCTACCAAGTGTCCTTTACTTGGTCTGCTCGTTAAGGCCAGACTACCAAGGACAGGCCCATCACTCCCAGCAAGCCAGTGTATACCACCTTCTAGGCTTTCCCACAGGTGGATCCTACACAAGTCCAGACCCCCATCCCTCCTGCCCTGGCCCCTCCTCTTCCCTGCCCCCACCACATCCAGTGCACTCTAGGTAGGACAGGGATAGGCGACAGAAAAAGCAGAGCTGAGGGGTCCACACTGGCCCTGGCTTGCCCAGGTGGGACACCCAGGACACAAGCTTCTCTGTCCTCTTGCCTATCCTGGATCGCATTGATGATAAAGGCTCCCACAGCCCCAGTCCTGGGGGGCTGGGACCACACAGGCAGGGATCACGTCTCCACCCCATACCCCATCCTGAGCCGGGCACAGAATGGGGAGTAAATGGGTGATTCCCTAACACACGAAGTTCTTCCCTGCTTGTCCACCCCACCAGTTCCCAGTCCCCAGTCCCTGCTGGGGACTTCCTCTTCCTCCGGAGATACCCCACCTTATGGTACAGGGTAAGTGGGTCTGGCCGGCCAGTAGTGGGCTCCAGCTCTTCCAGATCTGCCAGGTTTCCCAGTGCCATGGGGTACCTGGGAACAAGCCATTATTCTAGGCTGCCACCTCGCCCCTCACCAGAGGCCCAGCCTGCTCCCTCCCATACTGACCTTTCCAGGTGTCCTAGGTCATACAGCAGCCACAGCAATTTCTAGGGGCCAGAAGAGAGAGGTGTGAGCTGGGGGCGGTGTGTGTGTGTCTGTCTATCTGTCTGAATCTCAGCTTACTGGGGGCCTCTAGCCAGGTGGGAAGGGCCAGAATTCAGGAACCTCTCAATCACTGATAACAAGGCCCTTTCTCATCTCAATTCCAGTCTCACGAGAACTGGAGGTTATAAACCCATTTTATAGACGGGGAAGTCAAGGCTTACAGAGGGAAGGTGTCCCTGTCCATTCTGGCCTTGCGGTGGCTCCTCACCTGCTGCAGCTGCAGCAGCTCCAGAGAGTCAGTGTGCAGGTCAATGGAAGGGTTGATGGCACATACCATGAATGCCACCTCCATCTTGCGGTCACAACGCATGTAGGATCCTTTCAGGTATAGCCAGCTCTTGGGGGGAAATAAGAACAGTCATCTCATGATGGCCTGCCCAGACTGTGCCTGCTCCAGGGAGTGACAGCCAGCGAAACGGGCCTCCTGCCTTCTCTTCCTGACATGAAGGTGGTGACAGGAAGGGGAGAGTGTAGCCCAAAAAGCAGAAGAGTCCCATCGGTGGCCCCGTCTAGCAGAGTGTGAATGGGACAAGGGAGGAGAGGGGATGTAATACCCGTTCAGCCACGCCCACGTTAACCGTCTGGCCCCTGCGATCCTCGTTGCCCTTGCCATGCCAGGTGACCTCAGCTGTCTGCTCCCCGTTGGGCCCAAATACAACCCAGGCGTGGTCCTCAGACAGGGCCAGGTGGACATCCCGGAGACCTAGGGCCTGGCAAGCCCCCACCACAGCAAAGGCCACACCAGAGCTGTCCAATTTGGTGCCTGTGGAGGAAAAATCATATCAAGTCCTTTCTGACTTGGACCGGGGGTGGGGGGGAAGCCAGGTAGTACTGAGTTGTGCTCCCCCCTGCATTAAGCCTGCACCCCCAACCTCAGCCACTTACTCCTGCCCATCACTCCTCTATCCCGTCTGTGTGTTCAAAGCTTCTCCCTCCCCATTACCACCCCTGTCCCAAAGAACAGACCTTCTCTAGTTCAGCCCAGGCTCCAACCTGGCCCCGCCCTCTCTTTGTTAACTTGAAGGGTTTCCCCATTTCTGGCCCTCATGAGATTCTAACAGGGATAACACAAATGGTGGGCGAGTTCTTCCTGGTAAGCCCAGAAACAGCCTCCGTTCTCTGATGAACACGGCCCTCCAGGACCTGATTGCCAAGCACCTGGGTCTGGCACAGAGCTAGCTTTGTAAGCCTTGAGCCCAAAGCTTCCTGAGGCTAAGCCTCTGGTCTGCTCCTTTTAAAATGTTTTCATAGGGATTGTTGGATGTAACTTTCTAAACGCAGCCTTATTTGGTTTCTTCATCCTCAAATCTGCTGCCATCATGTGTGCCTCTCAAGCTGGGCTACAGGACTCAAGTGACCACTCAATGGCAGGGTGGGGAGGTGCACAAGGGGCAGATGGTGGGTTACTGCCATTTTTGCTGTATCTTGAGCTTCAACTCCCCAACTGCAAACGGGGTAGTAACGCCAGCACCACCTCACAAGATATACAGGCTCAAAAGGACTGTGTAAAGCCCACAGTGTTGGGAAGAGGTGGGCCGGGGCTTTGACTCATCACCACCTGCTGGGCTCCAACCTGTGATGAAGCTGAAGAGGGACTGGATGTGGGCCCGATCCTTGAAGTAGGATCGACTGAGGCTGTTCCAAATGACATCAGAGACCTTCTTCACCAGTTCACGGCTGGAGACACCTCCCTCCCGGGGGTAGAGGGACAGGTCGACAGCTCCGCGGATCTGGGCCGTGAAGCGGGCATAGAGAGCAGCGATGATGGACAGGTCAGCTACAGGGAAGTAGGTGAGGCCGCCAGGGGGGTCGGGCGCTGGGCTGGGCTGGAAGGTGAGCTCGGGCACATTGGTGGGAATGACCCGGTTGACAGCCAGGAAATGCTCTACGAAGCCCAAGACCAAGGACAGAAGCACCAGGTCCGGTTCCTCTCGGCCCAGTTCGGCAGCGAAGAGTCGCACCACGTCGTCAATGGAGCGCAAAGGAAAGAGAGTCTTCTGGGCGGCCTTCAACCCCATGGTGGCTGGCGGCGGCCTGCGGGTAATCCCGGAGAGGGAGGGTCGGGAATGCACGGCTGAGGAGCCCCTCCAGGGTCGGCGAAGGTCTCCCCAACCCTGCACACACACCTGTCCCTTGCTTCTCCACCCACTTCACGCTCTGCTCACCTCCTGCCCCTTTTTGTCGGCGAAACGCCCTCACCGAGACTGTGGGGCCTCCCCGTCTCCCACAGCCCCAGGACCCCGGCCCCAAAGGGGGTGTGCACCAAAAACCCCGCTGGTATCCCCCAATGACTGCCCCGCCCCCTCCCTCGAGCCCTGCCCCCTAGCCCTTTGTAGTACGTCCGAAGGGCGACCCCAGGACAAGCCCCCAAATCCCGAGGAGAGTCTTGGCCTCCGTCCCCCGCGCCCACCTCCGCGCTTACATCCCACACAAGGCACCGCGGCGCCCGCGGCCAGGAGCCTACTGGGAAATGGAGTCCCGCACCTCGTGCAGGGCGGCCTGTCGGGAAGTTGAGTCCTAGGCGGCTCCCGCCAGTACCAAGCCTTGAAATGGTGGCCGGTCTGGCCCTGTCCGTGGTGGCTTATGGGAGTGATAGTCCAGCGGCTTGGAGAAATCTAGAGGTAGGTGAGGGGTGGAGGCAGCACTCCTTTTCTGAGCTTCTCAGGGATTGGTCAGTCCAGTTCACGCAGAGCAGGTGGGAAGAGGACCGTGATGCATTCTGGGAAATGTAGTAAAAAGCTACTCAGATGGTCACTGAACTTCTATAGGTCGTTATCTAGTGTCGGCAAGATGTGAAGCGAAGGTTACGCTCAGACGCCACTGGAGTGTAATTATGTTCAGCCATTTTAGTTGGATGTTTCCCTTGAGAAAAATTTAACACATGTACAAAAAGGAATAGCTAAACCACCACGATGGGGAGCACAGTGGCTCTGTAGCACAAGCAGTGGACTATGAACCACAAGGTCAGCAGTTCGAGCCCACCAGTCGCTCTGAGGAAGAACAATGAGGCTTTCTGCTTCTACAAAGATTTCCATGCTCAGAACCCTATGTTGTTGTTAAGTGTCTTCAAGTCGGTTCTGACTCATAGCGACTTTATATCCGGTTTCTGAGGAGCAGCTGGTGGATTTGAACCACCGATCTTGTGGTTCATAGTCCAATACTCATTCAAAAGCGCCATACCCTATACAAGGTCACCGTGAGTCAGAACTGACTCACAGCACTTAACAACAGCAACAATCACTGTAGTTATTTGTCACAGAGTAAAAATAACAGAGTGAAGTATTTCTATGCATTCTCAAGGGGATCCTTACAGCACATTGTTGAGAAGAAAAGGGGGGAAAAGATAAAAGTGCAGAAAAATAATATATGATAGCATTTATATTAACATTGTAAAGCTTCAGTAATTCTGGTGTAGGGCTCTAGGATAAGCATTAAACTGCTAATCACAAGGTCAGCGGTCTGAACCCACCAGCTGCTCCTTGGATATCTTATACAGGGCCACTCTGAGTAGAACCTGCTTGATGGTACTTAATAACAACAACAAAGCCTCAAGAAAATACTGACTGGATTTGCTGATAGATTGGATGTGGGATGTCCGAGAGAGACGTCAAAAAGATTGCTAGGTAGGTGCCTGTGTGCTTTTCCTCTTCTCTAGGTAATAAGGAGACACTGTCCACACTCCCTGTACTGTGCAGAAGTCTGGTTTGGGGCACCTCAAGTTTGGGTGAGACCTGCAGGTAGCATTGCTAAATCTAGATACCAGAGTCCAGAGTCCAGGGAAGAGGTCTGGGTTAGGGATACAAATTTAAGACTCGTTAGTGTATAGATTAAAAGCAGGAGTCTGGATGAGATGCCCGAGGACTGAATTCTGAATTCTCGGGTGCTTCCTTGTGTAACAAGTCTGGGTGGCACAGTGGTTAAAGTATTTAGTGGCTAACTCACCAGTCTCTCAACAGAGGGTGAAAAGATTTACAACCTTGGAAACCCTGTGGGGCAGGTCAGCTCTGTCCTATGGGGTCGCTGTGAGTTGGAATCCGTGGCATTGGGGTCCCTCATAGAAGAGACTAGAGAGAATAGGCACAGGAGTCTGAGAAGGCGAGGCCAGAATGCTAGGAGGGACAGTAAACCAGCACAGTATGCAAACAAAGGATCTATGTCATGGCTAGAAGCAGTGTGAGCAAGGTGTGGCACTGTGAATGTACTTGATAGGGCTTTCTAGCCAACGTCTTCATTTTCACCAAATAATTGGATTGTTATTATCAAGTGCTGCTGAGTCAGTTCTGACTCATAACAACCCTGTATATAGGGTTTCCAAGGAGAGGCTGGTTGGTTTGAACCTCTGACCTTGTACTTAGCAGTCCAGTACTTATCCTACACCACCACACCAGAACTGGAATGACTGGGTGGGACCATGCAGATGAGGTGTACAAGTCTGTAGATGCCAGAATTGGTTAGTTTTGCATCCCTGGTCTTCTTTAAAAGGAGCCATCTCAGAAGCAGGGACAGATGATCCCAGGATATCAAGATGGATGGGCCATGGGTAGGGGGTGACATTCTTGCCCAGAAAAGCAGCAGCAGCAGAGGTGGCAGCAGAGGCCACAACAGGAAAGACAGGACAGCTTCACGTCCCAAGTCAGTGGACTGAGTAAAGCCCAGTGCCCACAGACAGGAGGCTGGCTTGCCGAATGTGCCCTTTGGGCATTTACAGACTGGCTAAAGAAGCTCTGTTAACATTTGCCTGAGCAGAACAGAGATTGAGGGGCCACACAGCTAAGAGGTCAAAGACAAGAATATGGTGTGTCTGCAGTATGTAGAGAAGAAGCATTTCTGACGGGAGTTGTTTCTGCCCTGGAATTGCACCCTTTTCATTTCTCTAATAGATCCCATAATCATAAGTATTGTCTACATGTTCTGTGTGGCCATTGCAATGGCTTATGGAACCCAGATGTGAAGCAGAGTGCTGTGGGAGGGATGGCTGCTGTCGGAACAGAATACAGAATGTTGAAGGGTGGAAGCAAATCTACTCATGGGAATTGGCCTTAGACCAACTTTGAGTTTGATTCTCCTTCCCCTTTGTGAAGCCAGAAGACGTCAGAAAGGGCCTGCACACCATTCTTGCACAGAGTAAACTTGGGCTTACTTGTGCTTACTTACTACTCTGTAGTGAACAATTTCACATGTTTTTCACACTTTCAAAAATGTGGTGAAGAGAACAAACAAGATGGTGGATTGGGTGGAAGTGCAGTGAGGAGCTCCATCAGCAACAACACGGAATACAGGACCAAGCAGGCTCAGGGGATGGTGCCAGAACTCTGAACCACATATAAAAGAATATTTAAAAGGTTGGAAGGCTTACAGCTATGGGAATTTGTGGCAGAAGCAAGAAATCCATTGCTTTCTGGTTTGGGATGCTCAGCTGCTCCAGGAGCCGCCATCTTGGGTGAGACCAAGCGGGGGAAGGATCGGAGTGGCCACAGACGCCTGACAGAACCGCGGAGATAATGTGGACATTCTTTTATTTTGGTATCTGTTCATTGGTCCCTTGCTGTCTGCGCACCTCCATTCTGGTGACTATAGGGGTGCCTGAGCTAGTGGGC